AAAGAGTAAACATTTTAACTTAAAATTTTTAACTCAAATAGTACAGGAGACTCCCCTTATCCATGATTTCACAGTCTGTGGTTTCAGTTACCCATGGTTAACTACAGTCCAAAATAATAATTCCTAAGTTTTAAATTACATCCATTCTGAGTAGCTTAATAAAATATAACACAGTTCTGCTGTATTCCACATAGGATATGAATGTCCCTCTGTTCAGTGTGTCCATGCCCTGTGAGAGGCCATCTTGCTTCTGAAGTCAACTATTGCAGTATCACACTGCTTATGTTCAAATGACCTTTATTTTACTAATGAATGGCCTCAGAGTGTGTTAGGTTTGTGTCTAGATGTCCCCCCAACGCCTCTTATGGTCACAGAGCTTTTACAGAGTCTCTAGAGTGTGCAATGTAGGATTAAAGGTGCTGGGATTAAGGGTGAGTGACTGCTGGACCACTCCACTGACTGGATTGGCACCATTCTAATCCCAGCAGTCTGGATAAGATAAAAGGGGCACAGAGAGAATTGTTCTCCCACTTGTTCCTTTGGTACTTTTTGCCCACTGTGATTGTTCTCTGCCAAGTTCCCAGCTAATCGTGGGCTGAAACCTCTATAAACTGTGAGCTCAATAAACCTTTGCTCCTTTAACTTTTTTTTTTTTTTTTTAATGTATTTAGTACAAGGTCTACAGGGTCTCACTACACAGATTGGATTTGGAGTAATCCTATTTTCAGCCTCCCAAGTGCTGGGATTACAGGCATGGGCCACCACTCCCAGTCTCAGGGGAGTCTCAGCGTACCCCTGGGGCCAGCACATCATGCCTGGATTGAATCCGGTCCCTGCGTCTCGCTAAGCAGGCACTTTAGTCCGTTGAACTATCTGGCTGGCTCTCAAAACAAGCAACTTTTAAAACAAGATCATTTCTGCTAGGTTGTAACCATCTTTTTAAAAACTACATGTAGAAGAGACTTTAACTGAATAGGCATTTAATAGACTACACTAATTTTAGAAATGAGAAAAGCAAGCTCAGAAAAGGTGAAGGAAATTACCCACAGCTGACAATTATTTATGGTAGAGCAAATACAACTCATAATTTCTAGATTCTCCAAGCAATTTCAAAATCATCTTATATATGTAATAAGCTCCTAATGCTTAAATAATTTGGGGATAATGTTACATCAATGTAAATTAAACACATATAGCTAAAATTATTAACTGTGAAAGATATCCTTTTAGTACATTCTTCTGAGATGGAGAATCTACTTCCAACACACCTAAAAGCTCACAACCAGAGAATCAGCCAGGTAAAACAAAAAAACAAACAAAAAAAAAAGGTGAAATTTTAGCTTAGAATCTTGGGAAACTAATAGAATTAGCCTTCCCCTTCCTCGGATTCAACTAATAGCAAGTTGAAAATCTTAGGGGAAAGAAACTTACACCACACTGAACATACAGACTATTTCTTGTTACTATTCCCTAATCTAGTTTGTGAGACAACTGCTTAATAAGCATTTACATTATACTGATTACTAGACGTAATTTAGAGATGGTTTAAAGTATCTGGGACTTTGCATAGGTCATATGTGAATACTATATCACTATATAGTAGACTTCAGCACCTGTAAATTTTGGTATCAGTGAAGGGGGAGTTGTTTGTGTCCTGTACTCGAACTCCCAGAGTGAGGAAAGACCACTTGGTGTCTCTGGAACGTTTTGATCTTTGCATGTATGCTTAAAAATGTGCTTTATGCGTTCTTTTGTATACTCTTACCATTTATTAGACAATTTCAAACGCTTGCCCTCATGTAAGGATTAAAGAGAAACAGTCATTTTACCGCTGTGAAATCCAGCAGCTGGTGCAAGGGTCTCAAGGGATCTGCAGTTCCTTCGTAGGGACTATGACCTGGCACAGCCATCTTAAGCGGGACATCTGGGACCATCCCTTAGAGGACCGGCCAAGGACCCAAGGCGTGCCGGCCAACGCGCGCGCTCCGAAAGACAGAGGTGGACACCACCCGGCCGCCTGCAGCCGCAGGTGCGACAGGGACGAGGGCAGGCGTTGTCCCAGCGCGGCGTCCCTCCCGGGCGACCGCCCGAAGCGGCCCACGGCGGGCGGGGACACGCCCCGAGGTGTCCCGAGGCGCTTGGACTGGGCCCCAGCCCTTCTCCTACCTCGAGCTGAGGGGAGCGGGTGACCGCGAGTCGAGCCCAGGTGAGACCCTGGCGTTGGCGCGTATCTACAGAGCGTCCACAAGCCGGAACTTGGGGGCCGAGCCGTCGCCAAGCGGAATCCAAGGAAACTGCTCCCACAGTCCTCCGCGCGGGGCGCGCGGGCCGGAAGCGCTGGCGCCGGGCGGGCGGCGGGGTGGGGAGGGTCGGGAGAGCGAGTCTCGGAGTCCTGGAGGGCCGCCGACCGGGGGGTGGTGCCGCAGTCACTGTGAAATAGCGTCTCTCGCGGAGCTAGAGCACCAACCTACAGGACCTGGGGACAGGTATTCTGCGTGACCACTGACAGTTTCCTTGGTCACTGTATAAGTTGTTCTGAGGGGACGTCTATTGGGTGGTCTCGCCCTCTTGCACGTGCTATACCCTCTGCACACTTTTATTGTGCTGTTAAACCTGTTTTCTCCAGAAGGGCGAGAGCCTCAGGAGACACGACCGAAACGTTGTATCCCAAGCACCTAGAATCATGGTCATTGCAAAGCTTAATATGTGAACGAAGAAGAGAAGTCATAATTATTTAATTTCTCGTTAAGTTTTATTGTGTTTTAAAGGTAAATTGGGATAGACCGGGGAACTCTAAAGACACCCATGATTAATGAGTTTTAAACAGTAGGTGTGTGTTCCGAAGCATTCTGTGGTCTCATGATTTTGCACATCTTGTGAACTGAGGCACAGACTGCTTTTGTTCTGGACTAGGTGGTGAATTTTATGTATTAACAGGGCAGTTTTTGGTCAACCATCAGTTCAAATGTCTTTTTCTGTGAAGATTTTTTTAGATGTGATTAACTGTTAATGCAAGATAATTTGAGTAAGGCAGAAGACCTTCTCAGCCAATCCTTTGAAGGCCTTGAGAGAATGTAGAAGAGGAGGAAATTCTGCCCCAGATTGCCTTGACGCTTGACCCTGAATCTTCAGCTCTCCCCTGGGTCCCCAGGCTACTTGTTTGCTCTGTAGAATTTAGAGTGAACGACCTTAAATGGAAAAATCCAATTCCTTAAGTTTCACTCTACATAAATATTCATCCTATTAGTTCTGTTTCTGTGGAGAACGATATAACAACTCTTTCCAAGGATGTTTATACTTTAGAAGTATGAAATAATTGCTTCTATTCCACCCAACAGCAGGTTTGTTGCTGTGTGTAGAATAAAGACAATGTCTTACCCCACCGCCGCAAACCTAGACCAGTTGGCCCTGGTGTATTGTAAAACACTGAAGTTTTATCCAGGCTTCCTGGCATGTATCTGCAATACTAGCACTATAGGAGGCTGAAGTAGAAGGATCACAAATTCAAGCCCAGCCTGGGCAGCTTAGTGACTTAGTGAGACTGTGTCAAAATTTTAAAAGGGCTAGGGGGAGCTGAGGTTGTAGCTCAGTGTGAAAGATCTGGATTCAATCCCCAGTACCTCACTAAATAAATAATGAATTTGGGCATAATGATTGATGTTCCCTGAACTTGGGTATTTGTGCTGGTGGCACTCATTGCACAAGCAGCATCCACCTGGACTAGCCCAATGGCACATGGCAGGCACCATGAACTAACCAATATGAAGCTCAGCTGCTTGCTGTGCTGCACGGAATAAAGTTCTTTGTCTCTGATATGTTTTCTGCCAGATTCATATAACTGTGTTAGACTAGCCTGCCAGGTCATAGGTAGTATAAAATCTTACATACAGTTCTTGATACTATCAAGCTTCTGTGCCTAGCTCAGAACAGATGTTCAACAAGTGTTGAGTAAGTTAGTGAACAATATAGAGTTCTTGTTTCAAATTACTGCAATTTAGTATGTAGAGACCTTTTATACATTTTAAGCTTCCCAGGTTATAAATGCCCAGAACCCTCAACTTTTAAAAATCAGAAACAAAGTCAAGTTCTTTCAACTTGGTATCTTATTTATTTTTACTTATTTATGCTGAGGATTAAACCCAGGGCCACACACTGAGCTAATTTGCCAGCTCTTTTATTTTGAGAGAAGGTCTTGCTAAATTTCCAGGCTGTCTTTGAATTTGTGATCCTCCTGCCTTAGCCTGGGTTCACAGAGTGCTAGGATTACAGACATGAGCTTGGCCTGGTTGCTCTTCAAATATATTGAATTACATACCCAGAGAGTGATCATTCCCTTTTTCTTCTAAGTATTGAACTTTAATGCAACAGGCATTTATTGAACATGTGCCTATTATTACCAACAAAATGCTAGGGTAACATAATTGTATTATTAATACAAAATTTCCATAGAAACAGGGATTTTATAAAAAATTCCAAATAGTATTTCTAGTATTTAGAAAAGTTCCTGAAAGTAGATGGCCTTCAATAATTATTTATCAAGGGACTTTCTAGGGCTTGTTATTAATTACATATAGAGTTAGGTACATGGGAAGGTAAATGGGAAGCAAGTAACAACTACACCAAGTTAACATGGGACAAGCATCTCAACTTAGACTTGAGTTGTGCAGTGTAAAGCTACTGCCATTTATTAATATGAAAACCACTAGATAGAAGCAGATTTGGGAGCCAAAATAAGTTTAACTTTAAACATTTTAGTTTCAAATGCCTGCAAAGTATTCAAATAGAGATGTTGACCAGAAAACTTGTATGTAGAGATGTAAAGTTCAGAGATAAAATCTCATATGGAGATAGACCTTTGGGACTCACTGGCTCCTAAAATAAATGTGAAGCCTGTGGGTGAGTGAGATTTCTTAGAAGGAGAAGGATATAGAAAGGCAACAAAGAGGCCCTAGCTCTGGGGCTTCGACACATAATATTTAAAGATTTTTGTAGAAGGGAAATCCTCAGTGACACTCTGTAGTGGTCAGAGATATTGGAGCAAAATCAGGAAACTGAAGACAATGAAAGGTAAGGGAAACCAATGTGCCAAATAGGACGGAGTACACCACCATGTTGAATGCTTTTGACAGGTCAAGTAAGTTGAACTGTGTGTAGCAGTATGAGGATCACTACAGAGTTAGCAAGAGCTTTGTGTGTGTGTGTGTGTGTGTGTGTGTGTGTGTGTGTATGTGCGTGTGTGTGTGTGTGTGTGTGTGTGTATTTAGTACAGGATCTACAGGGTCTCACTGCGTACATTGAACTTGTAGTAGTTCTCCTGTTTTCAGCCTCCCAAGCGCTGGGATTACAGAATTGAACCCTGGCCCCTTCACTCTGCCTAAGCAGGTGCTTTAGTCCGCTGAGCTATCTGGCCGGCCCAGCAAGAGCTTTTCCAATGAAACAGCATAGAAGCCTGATTGCACTGGTCTAACTAATAATTGGAAATTATATTAGTGCATTTTGTCCTACGACAATGGAATAGTGGAGGTAAGGTAACTATGTAGAAAAGAGATTTTAGTTTGGTTGTAAGTGTGGACACTGAGTATTCTAAAGATGGGCCGGGGAGATGGCTCAGTGGAATAAGCACTTCCATGGCAAGCACACGGGCTTGAGTTCAATCCCCGGTTCTGCCAAACCAGAAAAAACAAAAAACAACTGGATCTGGAGGTCCCCAGAATGTGGAAGAAATTCTCACTCTGTGTGCGGGGTGGGGGGGGTGCTGCAGAGTGGCATGGGGGGGTCCCAATGGGGTGGAAGAGGGTCTCACCCACGCTGTGCCTGGGTGGGACCGGCAGGTTCCACCGGTGCAGGGTAGCCAGAAGCTCTCCCACAACTAAACAAAAAAGGGGATACAGATGAATGTCCATTTTGTATCTGTGTATTCAAAATGGTTAGGATAGATACATAGTTACATTCTCTTAATGAATAGAGGGATTTGTTCTAATAGTGTTTGTAAATAGGATATCATGTCTGCATCTTGTACAGCAAATAACCACTAGGAAGAGAGTATGCAATGTGTTAATTATTGGAGCTGTCCTAACCAATTTGATTTGAAACTGTCTCATTGCTATTTGTTTCTCAATAAAATTATGGAAAAAAAAAACATGGCACATGCTCAGGAAGGGCCTGTGACAAATGACAGAAGTGTGAGTGGGATCATGAGATTACATTATGAAACAGGAAATCAGAGAGAGTGGTAGGGGCCAGGCTGTTTTTATAACAATATTCTCATCAGAACGAGGCAGGGTTCTGAGACAAGCATCTTAATCCTTTCTGAGAGTACATGGCCAGAGATCTAAGGGCCTCCCATTAGCACATCTCCTAAAGGTTCCGCACTACTTTTATTTTCTTTTCAGGTGGCAAAACCAGGCTTTATTTGGAAAAAACAATTGAATTGGGTTTTGTTGAAGGGCACAGGTAAGAAGGGGTACCTCAGGCAGTAAGGTCCCCCCAAAGGTGGGCTGAGGGCTAAGCTGAGCCTCTGGTGGGTCTCTTGCTCCCAGTTCTCCCTTGTATAGCTGTCTCCCCACATGCTCTGGGGCAACCTTGGGAGAGGTGCAGGCTGGGAGAGGATGCTGTGGCCCATTTACTTGGGCAGGACATCAGAGGTCTCAGACACCAGCTTCCCATTGTGGGTCTCAATCTTCTTCACAACCATAGCAAACTTGGTGCGGGTAAAGCCAGGGCTTTGGAGGCTCCCAAAGCCAGGGCCTATGAGGCAACCATAGGGTGAGTTCACCATTCCCGAATAGCCACTGGTGGTCTTCATGTGGCTGCTCAAGTTCTGCATCCCAGCCTCCAGCCTGTTCTCCTCATCCTCCAGCAGCTTGTGGTAGGTAGGGATCTTGATGTCCAGGGCCAGCTTGACATTCATGAGCTCCTGGTACTTGTGAGCTGCCAGGCCACATCCTGCTTAGCCTTCTGCAGGGCAGCCTCCAGCTGGGTCAGCTTGGCATTGGCATCCTTAATGGCCATCTCCCCACGCTGCTCGGCATCAGCGATGGCAGCCTGCAGGGGATGCTCTCTGGCCTTTGAGGGCCTCAATCTCTGCCTGGAGGCTGCTGATGCTGCAGTTCACCTCAGAGATCTTGGACTTCATGCAGTGGAGGTCATCCCCCATGCTTCCCAGCCAGAGTCTGCAACTCTTCATACTTGATCTGGTACATGCTCTCAGCCTTGGCCTGGCTGCGTTTGGCGATTTCCTTGTACTGGACCTTGACATTGGTGATGATACCATCCAGGTCCAGGGAGCA